CATTATTATTGTTCATAAATGTTGGGGTGGGCTAGCAATGCATTCTGGGGTAATCTTAACTTCTAAGTAGTAATACTTAAATAGTTTGAGTGTAAAATTAACAGTCTTCTCCAAAGGCAAGATATTCTAGCAGCTGATCGACGTCTCCTTTGTGCAGATATTACAAACACTGAGGAAAACCTTACTAGGTAGTGTTGTGGAGTTACTGATGCTATGAGGTGTTAGTGCACCTGTCCCTCTTATGTTCTTTTTTATTAATACTGCAGAACTTATAATTACATACAAGCTCAGGGAAAGATGGTTGTATCTTTAACAATGAACAATCATAATGACAAACAGCAGAAAACATCAATATAATGGGTTTGCATACATCATAGCATGAGATTATATACACAGAAAAAGAGGCACAATGACAAGGTTAAATATCTTTAAATAATCATAATATTCATATAATCAATGCATCAAAATATTGCATTTGTTGTTTATAAGCCGGAGGGATGAAACGAGAGTTAAATTCAACAAGAAAAAGAGGAAAACAAAGGAGATTTAAGCTGGTTTTGTTTGTGGATGAAAAAGTGCACATAATATATATTCAAGAGATAACAATTTTGGGTTATCGTAAGGAAAAATAATATATTTAAGGATTAAACTGTGGGTCATATTAGTAGGGGTTAAATATATAAAATTTTAAATCAACCCAAAATGTATTGGTTATACTACAATCACAACAAAAGGGCAGCTGTTTCTTCAACAAGACCACAAAATGAGGAAATTTCATAAACATCAAAATATTTACAGAGTTCTTTAACGTTCTGCCTGGAAACAAATATGCCATGATGACCCCCTCATGTTAGAAGAAAGCCGTCGTGTTTACAACTGTGATAATGAGCGCTTATCAGGATCAACTGAACGTTGGATTTTCAAAAGTATGTGAAATATTTAAAGTTTGCATCCCACCCTGCAAAAACTAATTTCAGGAAGGTAGTACCAACTGAAGCCCCCCCCCCCATGTCTCCCAAGGTTCTATGACACTTTTGATTAATAAGTAAACAAATTTTATAGAGCATTTTTATCACATATTTTAATTATTTACAATACACATATATACACATTCATTACTTCAGTACTCTCTGTCTCAAATGGCTAAAATAAATGGTAATTAAACTTTTATGCATACAGTTAATTTTCTTTCAACTGTCTTCTTCTCAGGACACCAGACTCTCTGTCATTGCCAGTTCATTTACAAACTTTCCTTGTACTGAGATGTGGCTTGCTTTGCAGATTTGAGCATTTTACTGGATGGCTCAAAGTCATAGCAGTCTGTCTCAATGAATTTATTAATTTTGCATGAAATAAGATTTACAAGTGTTTTGTGAGACAGACGACTTCTGAATTCTGTATTAATGTGGCGCACCATGCTGAATGCCTTTTCTACATCACAGTTAGAATTTGGCAGTACCAAAATCAGCTTCATCAACTGCCAGAGCTCTTTGAATCTCAACTGTCCTGTGCTCACTGATTTGACTTTGGACAGTTTCCCCCAGAACTCATCAACTGGCAAACTTTTGTAGTTTGGGACGAGTCCTTCTAGGTTAGTTGACAGATAATCCAGGACTTCCAAATGGAGCTGTTCTTTGCTGTCTGCCTTGATCACATTTGAAAATCTCTCTGCCAAAATCAAAATGTTCTCTGGCTTAACCTCATCTTGGTTATCTGGATTGACCACTGACAGGTTTTTCAAGATTTGGTCTTTCATTGGTAACTTCTCCAATATTTTTTTGAAGCTCCTGACATAGAATGCTCTGGCATCGTTTAGGAACTGCTTTGTCTTGTGAGAAGGGATTTCTTGTGCTTCCTCGCTTTGCAACTGCCTCCTTGCCATACATCAATAAAAAGATCTTCATCTGGGCGGTGAATTGCAGTGTTGCTCACATCAATGTCTATAATAGCTTTGGCTAAATACATCTGCTTGCTATGTCATGCAGAAGTTCCTTCACACTCTGATCTACCTTGATAATGATAGGTAACTTGTTTTGAAAAATCTAATTGAATTTGTCAAAACATTGTGTGACATTGTGGAGAAAGCAGGCGTACATTTTCATTAGGGGGTCTTTCAATCTCTTCTCAATATGAGATGACTTCGGATTCTCACTCTTTGTCTCAAAATATGACATAAAGGATGGACATTAGTGGAGCAGATTGTCCAAACATTTTGCCAATGAAAGACAATGTGTAGGACAATACTTTTGTACTCTCTGCTGGGCAACGTTGCATCACATTGCTGTTGTCATCGCTAAATCCTACACAGTTAGACCAATCAAGGTCTTTGTCATTCATGGATGATGCAATGCAACTGAATATATTTTCAGCTTTGGCATCATTACAGACTGGCATGTCTATAAATCCAACTGTTAAACTTATCCTGTGTTTTATCATAGTACCTGGCTAAAATGGCACATTCCTTCTCGCACATGATGTCATTGCTTTCATCAACCATGATGCTGTATGGCCTTTTTTCTGTCTGGATAAACTTGTACATGTCATCTGAACATTCAGGCTCCAGTGTCATGTTCACAAAAGCAGATGTCTTAGTCGATGAGCAGGCATAGTGTTTTGCAATTTCTGAATCAGGACACATTTTCTTAAATAGCTTTCCTGTGTGCTTACAGACCTGGAATGGCAGGTTATGCTCAACGATGAAAGATGTAAAGTAAACCTCAGCTCTAGTGACCTTCTCTGTCAGATGTTGTTTTTCTGCTGAAAAGAACTGTGAAATACTTGAGCTTTGCGCTAGAGATATATTTACTGCACAATTCATGTAACCTAAAAAAAAAAATTTTTTTAGAAATTTTGATATAGGCTACCACTTCCCGATTCGTGAAAACTTGAGTGTCTGGTGTAGGAGAGGGGCACAAGGAGAATCCAGAGAATTCCCGTGTGAACCCAGTGCGCTAGAGATATATTTACTGCGCTATTCATGTAACCTTAAAAAAAGTAATTTTTAGAAATTTTGATATAGGCTACCACTTCCCGATTCGTGAAAATGTGAGTGTCTGGTGTAGGAGAATCCAGATAATTCCTGTGTGAACCCAGTTATGCATTAAAATATGTACTTATATTTTTATCAATCTACTTACGGTATTGTTTTATTAATTTATTTAATTACAGTTTTAAACAAGTGTGCAGGGAGTTTTGCCTCATCACGTTGTAGAACATAAGTAGCCTAAACTTGCAGGTAATCAGCTCGTTTAAATAATGCTAGCTCTGCTAATGAACAGACCTGAACTCACTTCAACATGTCTTTTACAGTAATTTAACACACCATGGGCAATAGAAAAGTCACTGTTGCAGCGATCAGCACTGTCATTATTTTTTTTACCCCTATTAGGCAGGGGTACACCTTAGCGTAGTATGGAGTAAAGTGAGTTTTTTATTTTATTTTTCTCGGACAGCAGATGGCATTGCGTCTGCAGACGCAGAACTCTGGAAGTCTGAACTGACAGGAGATTGAGAGAGAGGTATGCCCGTCCACAGAGACAGCTGATTGGTCTATTTAGCGCATATGAGGATCCATAAGAGGATACTCATTCTATTGCAATTCAAAACTTACTATAGCTGCGTCTCA